ACCTTCCTCTGGTGAAGCCATGACAGACTTCAAGAAGACCCTTGGGGAAAAGGAGGAGAAAAAAATACACAAAGAGCAAGAACTACAGACATTAAGATGTATTGCTCATTTCCCCATTTGGCAAAGCTGCCAACCTACCACAGTTCCATGTGGGAATTACCTCCTGGAGCCCCACGGCCTCTACCCCTGTGCCAGCTCAGACAACGTGACTACAGACCTGCGTGCAGCAGCTTGCTGCTTACTGAGCAGTTGGAAACAAAAGACCATCCTTCCTGATCCTGAATTCACGGCAGGATCGGGGCTCTGACACTGTTTGGTACAACCTGCTGTCAGCTTTCAACAAAAGAACTGGGGGCATCCTGCTTTTCCTGAGTTCAATTCCCTGTGCAAGAAGCTGCTACTGGGAGGTTCTTACACAAAGTCATAGGCGTGAGGCCACGCAGATTTCCTTTTACCACATCAACTGGAAATAGTTTGTGTTGTGCTTGGAGGCAAAGGCTCTGTTGAAAGAAACTGCAAGGTTTACACTGAGTTTGCAACATAAGCTGCTCATTTACCCCTGTATAGCCCCGTCCAGGACCATGGTAGGGTCACTAGGTTAACTAATCAACAAATAAATCAAGATCGTAGAATTGTCAGGGTAAGAATAGATGAGAAATGAGTGCTGAAATGCTTGAGCAGAGATTTTGGCTATCAGATAAGAGTAGGTGCACGTGTCTTTTCAGAGAATTAAGGTAAAGAATGAAGATTACCTGAGGCATGACGAACGAGGACAATATGTTATGGAAGGAACCGAAAGAGACGATGAGCACATTGCTATCCCCCCCTTTTTGCTATGAAGTCACCCCTGAAAAAGTGTATAAATACCCTGTGTGTATGTTGGGTCTGTGGACACTTACTAGAAGTGACCCGACCCTGCTGTTGTAGCAGAGTCTGATCTAATAAAGCTCCTTGATGAACAGCTGAGTTCGAGTCTCACTACAATCCTGTCTCTAAAGGCTCATAATTATCATAGCATGTATGCTGCTCTCTTACCAGCACTACTGATGGCATAGTTTTCCCTTAATTAAAAAAAGACAATAAGTCGTTTTCCCTGTGCTTGGTTGCACTTCTTCATTCTTGCTGCTGTATTTTATTTGTGATAGGGTTTCTGGGTTGCAAGTCAGCTCTTCTCCGGCTGCTGAGATCTGGTTCCTCTTTACGTGCCTGTTCTCTCAGTGTAAACAAGCAAAGCTTCTCCAACTCCGCTGATCACAAGGCAAGAAATTGTCAGTACATTGGCAGTCATGGCTTTAAGTTGTGCCAAGGGATGTTCATGTTGGATATTAGGGGAAAAAAAAAAAAAATTCTCAGAAAAGGTGGTGAGGCATTGGAACAGGCTGCCTAGGGCAGCGGTGGGGTCACCATTCCGGGAGGTGTCCAAGGGATGTGTGGATGTGACACTTCGCACATGGCTTAGGAAGCACGGCGGTGGTTGGACTAGATCATAGTTATCTTTTCCAACCTTAATGATTCCACGATTATAACACCCAAAGAGCCCAGCTGTAGGCGGGGGGAGATGGGGAAGATGCCTTCCGGCACACACGCGGACTTGCGGCCGCGCTCCGATGAGTTTTGACCGCGCGGGGCTGCCGTAGTCAGTTGTGGTGCGTATGCACGGAAACTTCCGGCTGCGTTCTGATGCCTTTTGTCCCCGCAGAGCCGCCGTGGTCTCGGTCGCGGTGCTCATGCGCAGAAACTTTCCGGCCGTGCTCTGATGCCTTTTGTCCCCGCGGAGCCGCCATGGTCGTTCGCGGTGCGTATGCGCAGAAACTTCCGGCCGTGCTCTGATGCCTTTTGTCCCCGAGAAGCCGCAATGATCGGACGCGGTGCGCATGTGCAGAAGCTTCCGGCCGTGCTCTGATGCCTTTTGTCCCCGCGGACATGGTTGGACGCGGTGCGCATGCGTGGAAACTTCCGGCCGCGTTCTGATGCCTTTTGTCCGCGTGGAGCCGCCATGGTCGGTCGCGGTGCGCATGTGCAGAAACCTCCGGCCGCGCTCTGATGCCTTTTGTCCCCGCGGAGCCGCCGTAGTCGGTCGCGGTGCGCATGCGTGGGGTCGCCATGGAGTCGGAGGGTCCCTCTGAGCCGGGTTTCGTGGGGATCCGCTTCTGCCAGGAGTGGTGAGGGAGGCGGGGCGCGGCGGGACCGGGACCGGGACCGGGACCGGGACCGAGCCTTGGCCCGGCCCCGCGCTGATTTCGCGTCTCTTTAGCAACAACATGCTGTACCCCAAGGAGGACAAGGAGAGCCGTGTGCTGCTTTACGCGGTGAGGCACCGCGGCTCGGTGCCCCCACGGGCCCGGCTCAGCCCGAGCCGCGTCCCTCAGAGCTGGGCCCGGGCCGTGACCCTCCCCGCTCCCATCTCTGCCCCCAGTGCCGCAACTGCGACTACCAGCAGGAGGCCGACAGCAGCTGCATCTACGTCAACAAGATCACGCATGAAGTGGAGTGAGTGCGGACCCCCTTGGGACCCGCCCCCGACACCCCTTCCTCAGGATTCCAACCCACAGAGCCGTCCGCTGCCATCCCTGCCACCCCCTCCTTCATCCCCCCGACAGGACGGCCCCTAAGCTCCTCCCCTCGATCCTCCCACCTCGGCACATTGGCCGGCCCCGTTCTGGGTATCAGTGGAGGCTGATGAATGGGGGCTGCGATTTCCAAAAGAGTGGTGGGGGTTGTTAATAAGGGGGTAATTAGTGAGGAAAGTGCTTAGCAGGTGGCTCGGTAATAAGGCAGGCTGACCGGGGGGCAGTTAACGCAGTGGATCAATTCGTAGGTAGTAAGGATGATAAAGGAATGATTGGGTTACTGACAGCGGTCAAGGTGTAAAGGGGGAGTAATCAATTAGGATGGGTAATAAGGGAGGGCAACTAATGGAGAAAATTAATAGGGGACATATATTTATAGGCAGTTAATAAGAATCATAAAGGAACTGTTGGAATTGCTGATAAGCTTGATTGAGGAATAAATAGAGAGTAATTGATAAGGAGAAGGCAGTAAGGTGGAACGACTCAAGAGCAATTAATAAGAACGTAATAAGAAAGATGACAGGGTCGTTAACTAGCTCGAAGCTCATTAGAAAGGTTGATTAACAATCTGGGTGTCTCCTCACAGTGAACTCACGCAGATCATCGCTGATGTCTCCCAGGACCCTACGCTGCCGCGCACTGAGGACCACCCCTGCCAGAAGTGAGGACTCGGGGATCCCTGTGGGGACCAGGAGCCCCTGCAGGGATGTGAGGGGCTCCCCTGGGGCCAAGAGATGTCCTCAACCCTGCTGCTTTCCCTCTGGGCTCTGACCTTACCAGTGTCAGGGGCGTGATGTCCCTGCCATGTTGCTGTTGCAGGGCTCTGCTATATCCTGTACATCACCAGTACCCTCCTGACAGCTCCTTTACTTCCCTGTGGGGTTATTTAACATCCCCTCCTGTGGTTCCTGTGCCACGCAGGGCCTCCACGTCCCTGCTGTGTCACTGCTTTCCTTTCTCTCCCCCAGGTGTGGACACAAGGAGGCTGTTTTCTTCCAGTCGCACAGTGCAAGAGCTGAGGTGAGGCACCACCCCCAAGTCCCACAGCCTCCCAGTTGCTGTTGCCACCCCTTCATATCCCTCTCCTGTGACCACCGCCTCCCCCTACTCTGCAGGATGCCATGAGGCTCTACTATGTCTGCACAGCCCCGCATTGTGGCCACCGCTGGACCGAGTGATGCCTGTGTCCCTGAGTCTGGCTGTCATCCCCCAAACAGCTGTTGACTCCTGTACAACCCCTTCCACCTGCCAAATTTCTTCTCTGTACCTGCCAGAATGGCATTTGCATACAAAAAAAATGGTTGACTTTTGGCAGTGGGTCATGTCGGTGGATCTGTGGGATAGCATTGGATGGGAGGCAGCTCTGTGGGGCACTGGGCAGTGGGGAGGCTTTGGGATGTGCATGACTGTCACGTGGCTGGGTCCCTGCAGAAATGTTGCACCCATCACTTTCAGCTATGGAGTCTCAGATCCCCTGCAGTGTCCCCACGTGGCATCCCTTGTACCCCCAGAGTGTCCTGATGGGCCCTGAATTGCAGCCCTAGGACCTCCAAATGTCATCCCAGGTGCCCCAGAGGAGCCTCAAGTGCCCTCAACCAAGCTCTTGTCACCTCACTGGATCCCAGGTTCAGCTCCCAGAGATGTCCTGAGCTCCACATTTCCCACTGTGCTGCAGTCCTGGTGCTTTGAATAGCCCCACGGGGGCCAAAACTGCCTTCTGGGTACTCCAACCCCTAGTGTACCACATCATACACTCTGCATCCCTCGATTGCCTATTTGAGTGTCAAATCTCCTTTGCCCTGTCTCAGATTACACCATCAAAGCATAAATTGCCCCAAGAGATATCAAATCTCCTTCACTGATACCCTGAATAGCCCAGTTGGGCCCCAGATTGGCCCCTGGATACTGGAGATATCTCCAGAGAGCCTCATATTGCAGCCTGGTGCAGCTGCAGCTGGTGAATGGTGCCAGCAGAGGCCCCAGGCTGTGCTCTGGCATCCTGAAGCCTGTGGTTGGTAGAAGTCTTGTTGGTCCCAGCAGTGTTGTTTGTTGGGTTTGGCCCAAATTAATGGCTTTGAAACAAAGACTTTAAAGATAATCTTTAGAATTGGCAGAGATGGTTGTTCCATCCCTGTTCCTGTTGCTGCTATTGAGCACTGGCATGGAGCAGGGCTGGGAAGGGACATGTCTCAAGGCAATTGCAACAGCTTTAGGGGGCTCAGGGTGGTTTCAGGTCTGTGAAGGAACCATCAAACTTTGATTAAAGATGAAGAGGCGTTAGTGCTGTGATCATTGGGTTATGCCAGACCTGGAGAACTGGCACAGGCAGGTGTGATCCTTCTGAACCCCTGGTTTCTGAAGCAGTTCTGGGCATCCAGCACTGTCTCAAAGCGCTGCTTGTGGCACTTGTCCTGCTTGGGGTCTGTGATAGAGCTGCTCTTCAGCAGGATTTCTGCATGTTTCGCTTCCTGTCCCTGTCATCGTTTGCCAATGTGGACCAGAGAGGGAAGCAAATCTCTTGGAGAGATGAGGGATGTGAGCAGAAGGTCTCAAAAAACCCCATTGTGGCACTCAGGTACACACCAACACCCTCAGCTCATGTACTGGAGGAATTCTCCCAATTTCTAAAGCACCTGAACACTCACAAAAGTGCTCACGTTTGGGGTTAGGCTGAGATTAAGCCATATCCTACAACTTCACACCCTGTGATGAGGTTTCCCTCTAGGAACCTTTATCCTGCACTTGGCAGCTTCCAGAGATCACCAAAGGATCCAGCCATGAGAATTTGGCTGGAAGGAAGAGGGCATCACGGGGACGTAGGAGGGACAGAGCCCCATGAGAGCAGGGCTTTTGGTGGTGAAACAAAGCAAAGTCCAACCCAGCAGATGGTTTGTATTTCAACAGGGCGGCTCAAAGCTAATCCTAAAGCAAGTGCCTGTGTCCCCATCCAGCCTTCAGTTTAGGCAGCAGTGACTCCTAATGCAGACCAAGAGAAATTTTTAACAATATCAGTGAATGCTTCTCATTTGGGAGACATTTGAGGTGACCTCAAGGTGACAGAATATTCTTGGAGTCAATTCAGGGTAGACTGATATTTAAGGCAGTAAAAAGCTGCACAGAGACTGGTTTCACCCAACATATATAATTTTCATTAACATGTGGAGCAGTGAATTCTCTGCTGCACCCTTTCCGTGTCCTGATTTCAACTCAGTGTGAATCACACACCAGTGTTTGGTTGTTGTTGAATGATGATTGCATGTCACTGGGCAGGGAGTAGCAGGGGGGAGGCTGCAGTATGGGCTGGGCTGGGCTGGGAGTTGAACATGCCTGCCCTAAAGGAATTTGAGGGTTGGAGATGGAAATGATCCATTTGGAGGCATTAGATAAGAGTGAGAAGGAAGGCAGGAATTCTTGTGACTTGCTGGTTAGAAGGAGAGGGAGAAGCACACTTCCAGCTATGCTGTATTAGAGAGCCAGCAATTCAGTAGAGCATGCTGATTTCCTCTGCTCACTTCATTTTCCCAGCTCCAACCCCTTCCTGTGTCCCTCGGTGTGCAAGCTGGACTGCAGCATACCCTGATACAGCTGCTCCCCTCATTGCACCTTATCAGGCTCAGTCAACCTGCTGTGCTGGGCAGCAGATGGAGCCAGAACCAGGATCCCGCTTGGGGTAAAGCAGTGTTGGTTCTGAACTGTCCTTTGACTCTTCTTTTCCCACTCCCTGTTCAGCTGGCAGGGGGCAGAAGAGCACAGGAACAGTCGTACAAAGCGTCAGAGAATGGGTAAAAGCACATAGAGCTATGAGGGAAGGGAAGGGAAGGGAAGGGAAGGGAAGGGAAGGGAAGGGAAGGGAAGGGAAGGGAAGGGAGGGGAAGGGAAGGGAAAGGGAAAGGGAAGGGAAAGGGAAGGGAAGGGAAAGGAAAGGGAAGGGAAAGGGAAGGGAAGGGAAGGGAAGGGGAAGGGAAGGGAAAGGAAAGGAAAGGGAAAGGAAAGGGAAGGGAAGGAAAGGGAAGGGAAGGGAAGGAAAGGGAAGGGAAGGGAAGGGAAGGGAAAGGTTATTAGAATAATTTGAATCTGTGCAGTGTAATGAGAATAAATCTGTCCCCTCAGTTAAAAAGAAAATACAGAGAGGCAATACTACTGGGAGCAGGGACTTGGAGGAATCAGGTACATCTGAGACTCATCCCCTGTGTTTGTGACCCACATTTCTGTGTAAATCCTGGTGAAAATGGGCTCATCCAGGGCTCAGGAATCCAAACTGCTCACCTGGAGCCTTCCAGCTGAGGATTCCCCTCCTCTTCTGCAGTCCAGTCACTTTTCTGAGTTGCTCCCTTTGAAATCCTGACAGCTGTCTCCACTCTGTAACGGCAAGGTGAGGCAGACCCTGCTTTCCTTTTCCCTTTTTTTCATGGCTTTCCAAGGCCAGTGCTCAACTTTGTGTTTTCAAGTAGTGTTAAACCTCTTTCCAGTCCCTGCTTCAACTGGAGATTCAGGCAGAAAAGAAAAATCCCGGCTGCTTCTCTGCCAAGCAATGAAGGGCACTTCCCTTGGGTGCAGAGCAGGGTGCTGCCACCTCTGTTGCATGCAGCCAGGTTCCTTTGAATCATGCAGGGCAGATTCTCAGCCTGAACCTGGCTGCAGGATGACCTTGGTGCACATCTTGCTCTCATAGTGCTGCCTGGATGGCTTCAAGCCAGGCTCTAACTGCTCCATAGGGAGCCCCTCTGAGCACTGGTGTGCAGGGAGCTGTGAGCTCTGCTGCAGGCTTTTCACATCCAGAGCACCCTGCAGGATCCCAGGCTCCCAGGCTGTCCATCTCCTTGCTCAGGGCTCAGTTTAAGCCCAGACCAAGGTATACTTAACTCCTGCTCAGCTGTGTTGGAGGAGCCCAGGGCTGCAGCTCAGCCTTGCCCACAGCTCCTCCTGATGTGCAGCTTGCCTTTCCAGCCCGCCCCACGGACCTGTGTGTGATCTGGGTGCTCAGCTGAAGCCAGCTGCTCTGCAGGATCTTTCCTCGTTTGGTGACATAGATGGAGGCCCTGCCCAGCACTCCTTGCTTGCCGTGTGGGGTGCAGTGGGGCTGAGCACGGGCAGCACACGGAGCTCAAGTTTGTCATCTGAAACCCAGGAAGAAAACACTCTTATCTCCAGCGTGGTGTTAGAAAGCAACGTTCCTTTATTCCTCATGATGTACCTGGCAACTTGTCAGAACAAGCACGTGCACTCAGAGTTCAGGCTCTACTTTTAAACAGTGAAGACATGCATATACATATTGGCAAACATATTCAATTT